AAAGGCCACAGGTGTCACGACTGGAACTACCAGAGACCAGACCACCACGGCCCCTTGCTGGGCTGACTCCACCCCCAAGCAAGCAGTTAGGGCCAATCAGGCAGGCAGGTAGGTAGAGTGGATAGGCCTGATCAGATAGGCAGATCAGCAGTTAGGGATGATCAGGTAGGCAGACCAGTAGTTAGGGGTGATCAGGTAGGCAGGCCAGCAGTTAGGGATGATCAGGTAGGCAGACCAGTAGTTAGGGGTGATCAGGTAGGCAGGCCAGCAGTTAGGGGAGATCAGATCGGCAGATGGCCCCTTGCAAGACTGGACCCCCCCCCCCCCACCAGCAAAGAAAGAAGGAGGCCCTGGCCAGCCAAGCCATTGCGCGCCAGCCTGTCACCTGCAGAGGAAGGCCAGCGGTGGCAGGGGAGTGGGGATAGTGCTGCACAGTTGGCAAGCAGTGGCATCGGTGGGGTGGGCCAGTTGCCTGCAGCCAGGGGAAGGGAAGTTCTGATAGGCCCTGATCTCAGGGCAGGCCTCGGGACCCTACCCGAGGGGTCCTGGATCGTGAGGGGGTGCAGGCTGGGCTGAGGGACACTCCCCCACCCCCCGAGTGCACTCATTTTTGTGCACTGGCCTCTAGTAGTAATATAAGATGCCAATAATAGGAGAAAGGGGGTAAAGGAACACCTGGGAACTCTTTGTCCTATCTTTGCAACTTTTCTGCAAACCTAAAACTATTCTAAAATAAAACATTTATTTTTATTTTTAAAAATTCCCTAAAGGAAGGTTTTGGTGAACAGTTTTCACTGAGAATTGATCAGAAACTATTCTGAAGTTGCACCACAATTAGTGCTTAGGGTCTCCCAAGTAGGACATAGAACTGTCAAAATGGACAGTCCTATGAGGTTTGCTTTCCTTCATGCAGACGTCCCTTAAGAAAGTTATTTTTCATGAGGGATTGGTTGTCACTTGACAACTTCAGAATCAGGATGCGCACCAGCATACAGATGCTAAAATTCGTACTTGACTGCTACGTGCTTGCAAAATAGCAACAGAGCTTTAAAATTCATACCCCATTCCTGTGACCCCTCCCAGGTGCCACCTTTTACTTAAGCCTCACCTCCTCTGACTAGCATTCAACATTCAGAGTGCAGCATGTGACCACTGGTGCTCTCATACTCTACAGAGTGACCCTGCCAAAGCGGAAGTAATTCTTGAGGAGGCCACCAAGTAACATCCTCAGGAAAATGCGAAGTGAAGAGAAAACTATCGGTTATTGCCTTAGAATTTGCTTCCTTAAAACATGTGTTATTTTCTTAAAATACACCGAGTGGCCAGATTATTATGATCTGAACACATAATAATCTGGCCATACAGTGTGTGTGTGTGTGTGTGTGTGTGTGTGTGTGTGTGTGTGTGTGTGTGTGTGTGTGTGTGTGTGTGTGTGTGTGTGTGTATGTGAGATCTGGTCTGGCTTTGCCAAGCGCAAAACCTCGGCATCTTTTGTTTCAGGAATGGGCAAGGAAGTGGGGACATGTAACTGCCAATGGGAAGTATTTTATGAAACTTCTGGGTCACGCCCTTAAAGAGGCTATTAGCCTACTTCCACACACACCCCCCCCCCCCCCTTCCCGAGAATGCAGGCAACTGGCCCGGCTGCAGGCAACTGGCCCAATCCCGCCGATGCCACTACTTGCCATCTATGCAGCACTACCCAGTGCAACAGAGGCCCGGTGTTTGAATTTGTGCATGGGTGGGGTTCGGCCAGCCTGGCCAGGGAGAGGGGACATGGGCAGTTGGCCAGTCTGCCTGCTGGTTGAACTCCTGGTCGAGGGGACAATTTGCATATTAGTATTTTATTATATAGGATATACACTGAGTGGCCAGGTTATTATGCATTCAGAGATCATAATAATCTGGCCACTCCGTGTATATTTTTATTGATTTCAGAGAAGGAGAGGAATAGATAAACACTTTAATGATGAGAGATAATCATTGATTGGCTGCCTCTTGCACACCTCCTATAGGGGATCAAGCCCACAACATGGGTATGTGCCCTTGACCAGAATGAAACCCAGGACCTTTCAGTCCCCAGGCTGATGCTCTATCCACTGAGCCAAACCAGCCAGGGTGCTGTGTTATTTTCTGTTCCCTGCTTGGAAGCCCCTCTGCAGCCTGTTTGCAAGGCTAACTCCTTCTCATTCATCAAATTTCAGCTCAGATACCCCTGACTCTGAAAGATCTTGGCACATCTTCCTCTCCGCCCCATTGCCCTCTTCTCCGTGGATTTCTTCATGGCACCCACAAGTTAGAGATGCAGATTTTCTTGTTGGTTCACTCATTTATTTGCATGTTCCGTTTCCAGAGCCCAACACAATTCATGACACAAAGCTAACATTATGTAATGATCACTGAATGAATGAATGAATGAATGAGAAACTGGGGGAAAACTTGCAGACACTAGTAAGTATGGTAATTTGTGTGTGTACAAGTCTCCCCTCTTGCTCCACTTGTAGAACCTATAGGTATGCTACATCTCTTTAGTTGCCATGAACCAACTTGAAAACACAGCGCTCACATTGTTTTTTCCTTTGGTCAATTCCAAGGGCAACATTTATAACTCAGTAAATAGCCAGGGGAAGTGGTTTTCTTTCTTTCTCCTTTTTAAACATTTGGACAACTGAATTCAAAACACATTTGGTGAAAGCACAGGTTGCCTTTTATTAATACCCTGGCTTTCCATTTCTCTGCAAAGGGAGGGAAACAGTCGCAGAGAATAAGAAGTTCTTGCCACTATATGGCTGAGCTCCTCACACTGTTGCTCTAACTTAGTGCTTTCTGCCTTTCGACAGTTACCTGAGCCATCACATCCTGCTCTCACTATGCACCTTTCGCTTTCCACGGACACAGTGACCCCACAGAGGTAACCTCCTTTGTCCCCTCAGTACCCCTCGGCACTGCCACCACTCTGTCCGACCACAGCCTGGACCTCAGCACTTTTCCATGATTTCAAACATGAAGCTCCTCTTCTCTGACTCCATCTTCCATTGCCTCCCGCCTCTCCCTCACATTCACCTCCCTTCCCCCTCATTGAGCCAACAGGAGTTTAATTCTCCATGTCCTCTCAGCCAAGGAGAAAAACAGATATGTGATGAAGACCCTCAGATGTGAATCCAGAGCTTCCCAGATAAAGGAAGTTTACGTTGGCATCAAGAAACAGTCTGTCCAGGATGCCAGGGGGCAGAGGTGTTACCCAGAGATACCTGGGCTGAGTCTGCTTTTGCTCTTTACCCCCACCCCACCCCCATTCCCTCCTTCCAACCCTCTTCCCCCTCAGTTTGGTTCAAGAAGTAGAAGAGCCAGATGTTGTTAGGTGTCTCCTTGTTAGTACAAGGTCTTCCTGAACTGTGGCACATACCTGATGGTGAAATGACAGGAGGATAGGGATAATCTGGCTGTTTTCTCCACTCTGGCAGGATGCTAGCTGAGGGAAAAGCGTCCCTGATGGGTGCACGCACTATCTGGGAAAACAGGGACCAGGGAGAGCAGTGCTGTGATGTAGCATCTGGTCCTGATCTGTGCGGCTAATGTTTCATTAGCTTTTATAGATCCTCGTCTAAGCAGATTAAGAAGTTGTAGAAGTTGTGGTGTGTGTGTGTGTGTGTGTGTGTGTGTGTGTGTGTCTGTGTGTGTGCACGCGCGCCTCTGTGTTTGCTTCCAGACAGTCTGTAACTCACTAAACCCATTTCAGGTTTCTCTTTCTCTCATAAACAGCCTGGGATGGTGGACCATGACAGTGCTTCTCTTTCTAGAATTTTACTAAACTTCTCTATGCTTCCGACTTTGTGTCATTTATATTCACTCTACAGTTGTCTTCAGGGACAAAAGTAATAGAATTATTGTGCAGAGTGGGCTCACTGCAAATTCGTGTCCTCTTATGTCAGCTGGGCCCTCTTAGCTATATGATCATCCTTATGCTTTCCTCTCATTGGTGACTTTTCCCACATTGAAACCTGCTCACACACTATGATCCCCTTCTAACTCACTAACCCGAACATCTTCCTCTTCCTCTCCCTCTCCTTCTCACTCTCCAAGGCAGCAGGTCATCCACAAGCTCCTGAATAATTCTATGTACCTCATTCACCTCAAGGGAAGTGATGCCATTGTCCCTTTCTCAAAATCACTCCTCCACTTGTGTTTTTTCCCCACCCTACTCTTTCCCCCACTTTTCCCCAGGATCATCTGTGTCTCAAATTTACTTTTTCATATCTCCCATCTCTTCTTCTCTACTGCTCCTTCCCTTCAGAGCATAAATAAACACGCTGAGTTTTCTCAACTTAAACAAGCAAATGAAACAAGACTCTTCTCTTACAGAGTAACAAACAATAGCAGATTATAGCTTCAAAATGCTATAGTACAATTGTAAAGACAAATATATGCTGGGTTCATGTAGAAACTCCCTTTCCTTGCCAAAATTCATGCCTATCCCATGTAGTAGCTACCTAACTAGCTCCCTGCCTTCAATTTCTCCCTCTTTCAGTCCAATTAACGCCGGGCTGCCATATTAATCTTCCTAAAAAAATATATAGCTTTGTGTATAATATTGCACACATTCCTTATGGAACTTATGTGCATCTACTACAACCTGCCCTCTCCCCCCAACTAAAAATCTTCTCTTCACTCTATTTCCACATGAGTCTTCCACTCCACCAAACTTGATCACTCCACGTATAGTCTGTCCTCTGCACTGTTGTTCATACTTCCCTCCTCGAATGTGCTCCTACTTCCCTCTCTTCACCACCACTTCCTTTAACCCTCGCTTTCTTCAAACCCAGCTAAACACCAAATGAGTTGGATGGTTGATAAATATTGTGAGTATTTAGACAGAAAGCAGTCCTCACAGGGTTGGTTCTAATGAGAAAAACCTTTTGAAGGAGGAATAAATTTCGAAGGTCTACGCACAGATGGTGAGTTGCACAGAAAGGCCTATTGGTTATTTCCCCCTGTGGTACCTGGTAGAGGTTGGTGTTACTATAAATATTCTCCCAGATTCGGTCATAGTTGAACTGATGCAAACCCTGGGAAGCCACAGAAGTGGGATAAGATGGAGCCAGCGTGACTGTCTTTGCAGCGTGATCTTGGAGCACTTGCGTTACTCGCTCAGGGCTGGAAATCTTGAGAACACAGAGGAGAAGGAATAGTTGGGAGAAGGGTTATTCCCTTCTTCTCACAAGAATTTGGTCATGTACACATGAATAAGAAAGAAGCTCCAGGTGAGACTTGATTCAATTTAAAAAAATCATGATTCCCTTAGGTATATTCATCCATTCAGCACCGTAAGTATTCAAATACACATAAGAGCACATTTAAATGAGTATTCAAATACACATAAGAGCACCGTAAGTATTCAAATACACATATTCAAATACACCTAAGAGCACATTTAAATGAGTATTCAAATACACATAAGAGCACATATTATAGTTACAACCCCCTAAGCACCAATGAAACACCTATCTGTTTGGGGTACAAACTGTCTGCAGTTAGAAAGCTGCCAGGAGGTGGATGAGGAGGAAGCAGCTGGGTAGTCTGAGGAAAGCACAGGCTTTGTAAGGTCACAGCCCTGGGCTTGCATCCCTGCTGGAGTCCTGGCTTTTTAACGCAAAGCAGGACAAGTCAACCTAACAAGATCACTATGGATGTCTCTCCCAAGATTGCTGCAAAAATGCCTGGCATGTAGCAGGTGCTGAATAAATGTTCGTTCTCCTCGTCGGAAGGTAGAAAAATAAAATATTAACATCTTGCAAAATTACAGTACTGTACAGTATCACAACCTCGATATTGACATTGATACAAACAAAATATAGAACAGACTCATCACCACAAGAATCTCTCCTATTACTCTTTTGAAGTTACACTCCTTTCCCTTCCCCATCATCTCTCCTTAACCTGTAGAATTCATGAATCTGTTCTCCATTTCTATACTTTTGACATTCCAAGAGTGTTGTGTAAATGAACTCATACAGTCTTTATAGGATTATAGTTCTTTAACGATTCATCCATGTTTTTGGGCATATCACTAGTTTGTTTCTTTTTATAACTGACTGCTATCCCATCGTATGGCTATACCAGAGTTAGTTTAATAGGAGGTACAGATGTTCAGTTTTACAAAATAATAATAAAAATTCTACAAATGTTTTGCAACAATGTGAGTATACTAAATACTACTGAACTATAGAATGCTTAAGATGATAAATTTTCTGTTAAGTGTTTTTCACACAATAAAAAAAATGGAATAATTTAGTCTAATAGTTTTGTTTCACGGATGAAGAAACTAAAGCTCGAGGAGGTTATATGACTAGACCAATATCACACAGAATCTAAAGTTGGACTATGATCCCACTCTTTTAACAACTGTTACTCTCTACTGAAAGCTAACAGATTATAAAAGTTTGGTAATTAGATATGAAGATCCAAACAAAGCCTTCACAGTAAATTCATGGCTAACATTTTTAAAAGGGAAAGAAAATTCAGTTTTCCTGAGAACAATTTTAGTAAGAATTTTATCTATTAAGGGAACACAATTATTTTCTTACCTTCAAAAACTTTGCTTGGAGTTGCATTAATACATCTATTCTTCTCTGTTCTTTTAGTTTGGTCAAAAGCTTCTTTTGCCAAGGATCACATTTTGGCTTAATCTAGTGTATAAACATGTTCACATAAAGTTACAACACGACACAATGGTTCTCTATGAAAGTTTCAAGCAGAGAGATTCAAGGACCTTCTGAGTAGGAACCTGGCCTCAGCGCTAGAAAGTTTCCTAGAGCGTGTGAAGTCTTGGAAAGGGTCTGTGTGGGCTCCCCAGTCTGCGGAGGGAGACTGTTGGTGCATGCCTCTGAGGTGTAGTAGCTCCATCTGGGATGGCAGAGCACCATCCACGAACAGGAGGGACCCATATCCATCAGTGTTGGGCATTTTACTTGATTTATGGGTCAAGAGAAGTCCACTCACAAAGACTTCTTGTGACTCCACATGTAAAATTTCAACTTTCATGTTAATGAGCTATATTTTAAAAAATTAGTTCTATGGCTACATAAGTAAACCAATGTGTGGATAACTCTCTAAATTTATATCTAGTTTTAAGTTCCAGCCAGTTATATCTAACTATCTCCTTGATACCTATACTTAGTTGGCCTGTATAACAATCTAAAACAAAAGGTATGGCTTCCCCTACACCAGTGGTCGGCAAACTCATTAGTCAACAGAGCCAAATATCAACAGTACAACGATTGAAATTTCTTTTGAGAGTCAAATTTTTTAAACTTAAACTTCTTCTAATGCCACTTCTTCAATATAGACTTGCCCAGGCCGTGATATTTTGTGGAAGAGCCACACTCAAGGGGCCAAAGAGTTGCATGTGGCTCGCGAGCAACAGTTTGCCAACCATGGCCCTACACCAACCACTTTGCTCAAGCCCCAGACTAAGAAGTAATGATTTCTCCCCTTTTCTTACATCTATCTTTATCACTTAAGATGTTTCCTTCCTTCATAATATATCAATACATAATACATGAATGCATAATACATGAATAATGAGGTTCAACTCCTCATTATTCATGGGCTTCATGTTTGCAAACTTGCCTACTCATTAAATTTTATTTTAACCCTCAAAGTTAATACCAGCAGAGCTTTCCTGCTCCTTCAGGGATGTGCACAGAAGGGTGAAAATTTGAGTTGCCCAACTCCACATTTCCATCTGAGGTCAAACAAGGCAATATTCTTTCTTCTTATTTCAGCCCTTAAACTATAAATAATAAGTGTCATTTTGTGGTCTATTTAGTGCCCCATTTTTATACTTTTTTGCTTTTTGTTGGTGACTGCTCTGTTTAAAATAGCTCCCAAGCACAGTACTGAAGCTCTGCGTTCCTAGGTGTAGGAGGCAGTGATACGTCTTATAGAAGAAACGTGAGCTTTGGTAAGCTTCGTTCAGGCATGAGTTATAGTGTTGCTGGCCACGAGTTCAATGTTAATGATTCAACAACACATATTAAACAGTGTCTTTAAACAAAACTGCACGTAAAATAAGGTTATATCTTGATCAGTTGATGAACCTACCCTTGTATTTTCCCTATGAGCAATAGTTCAGTTTTAATTCTATAATATTTGTGGCAACTTTATAGAACATAATTACCCCAAATAACAAGAATGGACTGTACTTATCATTACCTAAAATCATTTCAGTTAATCTGCTAACTTGTTTATTGTTTATGAATTGTGTATCTCCAGCACCCAGGCCCATGGCTGACACACAGTATGTAGTTAGTCAATAGTTTTGGCTTAAAAAGCTGGATTTACACAAATTAATTATACCCTCAAGTGTTATTCTTTGTGGTAGCCAAGTAGGCAAGATGACTAACAACAAGAAGGGAGGCTATCCAACAGGGAGAGGTAGGGTAGGGGGAACTTCCAGAGAAGGCAGAGCAGAGTGGCTAGCTTCACCCTAGACCCGAGGCAGGAGGGAGCTGGGGGATCCTGGCGCACAAGACCAGATTCTCTGAGCTGTCTCTCCTGAGGAGACAAAAGCACTGACCCTATGTCGTAGGGACAATTTTCTGAGGGAATGAGGAGAGGGGACAACAGGGACCTGATGACCTGGTGCTGCCAGGTTGCCTGGCCTGCTTGGAGGGTACTTGGCAACACTGTTGACATCACTGACAGGCAGGTCACCATCGCCAAGGTCTACTTACCTTTATAAAGGAAATCCAGTTTGCTCTCTTTTTCATAGCCATCCCAGGTCCTACCAAACCCAAGTTCTCTGCGTTAGCTGTCCCAAGATCATAGTCGGGAAACATTTGCATTCTCTGCTGCTCTTGAAGATGCTTTGAAATTTTTGGGAAACCTAAACAGAATTAAGGAGAGAGTAGAAACTGAGGCGGGGATGGGTATGTTAGATTGTAGGCAATTTCAAAGATAGCTACTGTCTTTGAAACTAATTGATAAAACATGACTCATGACAATAGCAGGACCATATATATATATATATATATATATATATATATATATATATATATATATAGGAGGCACATGTATTCAGTCAGCTCATTACTATAATTGTGTGTGTGTTTTCTTTGTTCTGAATATCTATTTCAAAGATTGGGGATGGATGTAATATATTTCTTTGTATGTATTTTGAGGCAGACCGCAAAAGGTGTCTAGATTTGAAAATATATTCACTATTTCTATTGCCATCTGTAAACTAGAAAATCTCAGGACTAGCCTGAGCCTGACCAGGATGCTGCTAGAGAAAAAGGTGCAGATACTATAACTTGATAAAATTCTTACAGGCACCTCAGCCAAACCCTGCACATCTCACTTTCAGACTGAGGCTGCCAGTGCTTGCTGTAACATAATTTCTTATTGCCAAAATGCCAGTCCTTCTTCCTCCCTTCTCCAGAGTGGGCCAAGGCCCACCGAGCCTGTGGTGGTGCCTTCATCATTGCACTGGCCACAGTGTATCATGATTTCCTCACTACACGATAAGCTTCTTGAATCTCAAGAACCTACCGTATGGTGATGGTTACACAACAATGTGAATGTACTTAATGGCACTGAACTATACACTCAGAAATGGTTAAAATCATATGCTATGTATATTTCATTACCCTCCCATCCCCCCTCACACACAAAGAATCTACCACAGTGCTAGCACATACTAGGGCCTCAATAAAGGTGTAGGAATAACTGAGCAAGTTCAATGAGTCACAGAGCTAAAGATTCATCCAGTTAATGCTGGTGCCTCCCAGGCTGTGCTGTCTAATATGGCTGCTCCTAGCCATGTGCTGCTGTTCAACATTTAAATGTAAATATATTAAAATTAAATAAAATCTAAAATTTAGTTCCTCATTTATGCTACCCACATTTCAAGTACTCAATGGCTACCTGTGACTAGTGGTTAATATACTCAAAAGACCAGATATCAATCTTATCCCTCAGTGTAGGAAGTTCAATGACACGGTGCTAGACTAGGGCTGGGGTACAAACTTTTTCTTTTTATTGAATATAAAGCATTTTGCCAATAGGAAAGTTCTTGCAACACACTCTGAGATTGCAGGCTTTTAGACATTAGACAACTCCACCATGCAAATTTGTCAAATCTTGGCTACATTTATATCATCTACTATGGACCAGAACCTACCTTTTACTTTAAATTCTGCAGAAAAATAAACCCTACAAACCGTCCGGGTTGGTTCGTCAAGGGTGCCATTACTCTTATTGAGAGCAAGTTAAACTGCTAATCTAAATCTCACCTATTACTATTATATTTCATCACTCTAAAAACAATTGTGGCAGCAATTTCGTGGCAAATGCTAGTGTTGTCTTTCATGGATACCAATATTCAAATTAAGAAAGAGTCCATCAAGTACCAAGGAAAACAGTTCTGTCTCCTTAGCAGCACCCCTCAGCTCCTCTAGGTCATATGAGATACTGAAATGAGAGAGCAGGAGCCTGAGCTGAGGTTTCAGTTCTTCTGTTTCTGTTGTGTGTTGGGGCAGGACAAATGCATCATCAGATCTCATTGGCTCTGGAAAAAAAAAAAATCCAAAATCAGTACTATTAAGACCAATGAACACCAGACAGGAAGACCAAGGAGAGGGTCCTTTGAGGTAGCTGGAGGCAGGGCCTCCTCAGCGGTGGGGAAGGCCGCTCTGCTCCTTGCCCTTCTCTGCCACAGTTTACAGAGTGCACCCCACTGGGCAGGGCTCTTTGACAATCCCCTGTTCTGGCTTTCTAGATGAGCTAGCCAGGCTCCTCCTCCCCTCTCACAGCCTGCAGATTAGAGCCTCTGGGAATGACTAGGTGGGAGCAGAACTACCTATGGGCCTTCATGGGAAATGAAGAGTATGATTTCTGAGTTAACCAAAAAATTAGAAGAAGGTGGAAGTCTTCACCTCCTTTCACCTGCTTACTCCTTCTCATCTCTACAAGTGCCCGGTTTGGACTCTCCTCCTTTGACACGCCAACTCTGATTCCCCAGTGGGTTAGCTGCTTCTCTGGAAGCACCAGGTCTATCTATACTCTAAAGCAAAACATCACTCACAGAACCCTGATCAGGTTTCGTAGCCATCTGGAATACAAGGCAAGGGCAAGATTTCCTGATTCAAATAAGGAAAGTCTTTTAAAATCATGTAACCTTAAAAATGAAAGACATCTTAAACTTCACATAATATGAAAGGTTTATTTTGGAGATGAGTAAATTGAGGGCAAAGGAGAGGAAATGACCTAAACTTGCAGGCCCACAATGAGACCACAGAAGAAACAGATCTAGAGCTCAGTACTCCTGATTTCAAGTTCATTACTTTTTTCTCCCCCTCTCTTACTTTGCTAGTTATAAAGGTGGAGACAATAATGTCTAAAAGAAGTGTTTGTTATTTTTATTTCCACAAGTTAACACTTATTTATTGAGGTGATATAACTTTTTGGTATATAGAAAATTTTCAAGCAAGATCATTTGACAAAACAGCACCTGAACAGCACACGTGGAAAATCACAGTCTCCTTTCCTCCACATTACTCTCAGGGAAAGGAGACTAATTTCTTACCAGAAACGCTGGTATCCTTAGGGCCTGGAGATGCAGACCCTTGGATGTCAGGATTGGTGTCATTGGCGTGGACCTTTTCATTTTCCTGACCAGCCTCAGAGACTTCGTCAGCAGCCACACTCAGCACGTTGGAGATGGGCAGATACTGGAGGGCCTATAGGAGGGCACAACCAAGAGACTGCATGTCAACTCAGTTCTCACAGAAGCTCCCAGATTTTGGTTCAGGAGCAGCATTTCGCTTTGACAGAGGACAGGGAGGTGGAGGTGGGCCTCAGTAACCTGCCCAAATTAGAGGCAAAATCTAGAGCTGGGAGGTCCCATGCTATCACCAGCTCTAAGTGACCTTAACCTCTAGGCAGTTCTACATTGATCAAGCACCCATAATGGACAAGATACTGTGTGAGGTGGTAGGGACACAAAAATGAATAAGGCCTGGGCTAACCTCAAAGAGTTCACACTCCAGTGGGGGAGCCAGACTTATGAGCAGATCATTATTATACCATGTGACTGGGGAGAGATAATTCAGAGGTAGACCCCACAGTGATTGCTTGGGAAGAAATAACGTCAAAGTGATGGTCAGGTTTCTGGTCTGAGTACTCTGTAGTTGATGGTATCATTGAGATAAGGTGTAGAACAGCGGTTCTCAACCTGTGGGTCGCGATCCCATTGGGGGTCGAACGACCCTTTCACAGGGGTCACCTAAGACCATCGGAAAACACAGATATTTACATTATGATTCATAACAGTAGCAAAATTACAGTTATGAAGTAGCAACTAAAATAATTTTATGATTGGGGGCCCCCACAACATGAGGAACTGTATTAGAGGGTCATGGCATTAGAAAGGTTGAGAACCACTAATGTAGAGGAATAGGAAAAGATTTAGAGGGTGTAATCATGTCACTCCTTTTTGATGCTTCTACCCTGGAATAGGGACTCTCTTCTGTGACTCTCTTTACCTTGTACTTATATTTATTCTATTTTTCAAATCACATTCTATTTCAGTTGGCTATTCTCTTGTCTATTTTACTAACATCCTGGGGTCCAATTCCTTTTCAACAAAAACTATTATTTTCTCTACATGTTCCAGGACATGTACATGGCATATATTAGGCCCTCATTAGATATTACTGAATAAAAAGTAAATTTACAATGAAGAGCATAAAAACTAAACAAGGTGATGAAAACAAGAACTTCAGAGTGAATATGAAATAGTACAACAGAGACAAAGCTCATTTAGTGGTCCCAAAAGAAAAAGATTTCAAAAAAAAAAGAACTAGTGACCCATTATTTTCCTGTCATTTGTAGAGAAGGTCAAATACAAAAACTGACAATCCAAAGTTAGGTGACAGATGTGACCAAACCCTGCGCTGGCCATCCCGGGAGAGCACTGCATCATCACATGACCATGCTTCATGTACCTGCAGGTAGTGGTGAATAGTCTTGAGCGAGTGCAGGTGACACACTAACCACTTTGTATAGACAGTCAGGTCTTCCTGCGTCACTAAGTTAGGAGGATTGCTTTTTCCCAGAAGAAAGTTTTCTCGTGCGACAGACAATCTATCAGCTCTCTGAAGGGCATCGCTGTACTCCTGCATAATGTAGGCCACTTGTTTCTGTTTAAGAGAGATGCAAAGACAGACCTTTGTTATTTTTGAGCTTATTCTCTGGTGTCATTTGCTTCTGAGCACAGGGTAATACAGTTTGGAGGCCAAATAAGGGGCTCTTTCATTTTCTGAATTTGAATGACAAGGGCTGTGGTCACATTCTCAGGGCTTTGAAGGAGGGAAACTCCAGTACACAGTCAGTGCGTAAGGATATTTGGTAACTGGAGTTGGCTTATTAGCCTTTTCCCTAGAGTAGAGGAGCATAAGTTTATGAAGAAAAATTCATATTCTATTATATAAAGTTCTTTCAGATCTTATTTATAAAAATAGGAACCATTATCATCTGCCATAAGCAGAACAGGCATCCATCAGTTCCTTTCCCATCTTTAGCCATGATTTTTAAAAAATTGACAAGTTACACTGTGGGTGTGAATGTAAATTGGTACAGCTATTATGGAAAACAGTATGGAGATTCCTCAAAAAAACAAAACAAAAAAAACAAAACAAAATCAGTATCTCAAAGGTATTATTCAACCATGCAGATTATTCAACCATGAAAAAGGAAACCCTAATATTTGCAACAACAGAGAAAAACAAACACTGTATGATCTCACTTATATGTGGAATCTAAACAAAAAAAAGTTGAACTCATAGAAGAGTAGAACAGTGGTTACTGGGGATGGAGGCAGGGAATGGGGAGATGGTAGGCAAAGGGTACAAATTTGCAATTATATAGATGAATAAGTCTAGAGATTTGAGGTACAGGCATGATGACTATACTTAATGAAAATGCATTGACAAGCCATTTTGTTTCATATGAAAAATAGCCCATAGGTTCGATTCATGGATTTCCTACCTTATAAAGAGGATAAAGTTGCTCCATGATCTTACTGTGCTGACAAAATCTCTTCCACCTAAGCATGTGTAAATATTTACTCAGGGCCAGCTGGGTAATTCTCTCTGTATAATGCTTGAACAAAACCAATAAAAATTAACACAAAATACAATTATAATAGAAAGACCAAATTAAATCTTGAGAACGCTAACATAAGAAAATCTGTTTTAGCCCTAACTGGTTTGGCTTAGTGGATTGAACATTGACCTGCAGACTGAAAGGTCTCCAGTTTGATTCCAGTCAAGGGTATATACCTTGGTTGCGGGCACATCCCCAGTAGAAGGTGTGCAGGAGGCAACTGATCGATGTTTCTCTCTCATCAATGTTTCTAACTCTCTATCCTTCTCCCTTCCTCTCTGTAAAAATCAATTAAACATATTTTAAAAAATAGGTTTCAGTTTATTTTGGAAAGAGAAATTTTTCTACATGCAGATCATAAAATTTAAAAACTTAGCTCAAGATACCATTCATATTTAAATACAGCAAGTAGGCATTTCTCAATCTACATGACCTGTTGCCAATCCAACAGATTATAGTTTCATTTATCAGTTCATGAACAAGTTTATCAGTAACATAAAAGCCTGTAAATTTGCCTAAAGCTGAGCTCAAAATGTCTTAAAAACAGAAGTTATGGGTCTAAAATACAAAGTACATTCCAGGTAAAATTATAGCTTTTAACCTTCCACCAGAAATTTTATTTATAATTAAAAGTAGTTAAATCAGCCAACTCTTTTTTTTTTTCATGTTTATTTCTAAGAATAAAAATAATACTAGCTATGATGGAATAAGTAGGACAGACATACCCTTTCATCATAAACAACTAGAAAATAGGATAAAATATACAAGGCAACTGCTCTCTGACATGGGAAACAAGCAATGCAGGACTGCGGTTCTTGAGAGAAACAATGAGATAAGCCCTGCAGTGACCTTGGATTTCTGCTCGGGAAGGAAAAGGAATCCTAAGCACAGCACAACGCTTTCTCTGAGTTAAGAAGTGAGAAATGAAAGCTTGGGAAGCTGAGTCAGCTGGAATTTGCAGGGGGAGCACCGGAGAAGAGGAAGTTAGGCAGAGAAAAGGTCCCAGAAATCTGCATAGAGATCTCTTTCAGTTTTCTGCTATTAAGCTGTGGATACAAAGGAAGAAACTCCACGAGGCTGTGCAATGAATAACTGATTAGGGATTGTAAACGGAACAGTTTTCAGAGTTCATACTTGGCTAGGAAATGTTCAAGTGCCAACCAGATGTGTGAAGAATCCTCATTGAACACCTGGGGCATTCAGTGGAGACATCAGAGGGGTCACAACTTAATAATAAAGAAAAACTATATTCTATCAAGTACCACACTGCTTTCCTTAACTCTTTCTCCTGTTATTATACATGTGGGCATTTCCCCACTTTTATTAGTATAATGTTACAATAATAATCTTCATGGAAAATGGTTTACCCCATACTATGAGTTATTTTCCTAAAGCAGAGTTCCAGAAATATCTTCTGTAGGTTAGCGAACAGCCTGCTGGGGACTGAAACTGTCATAGTCCATGTTGTATTGCCTCATAATATCAGCCCAGGGAAACAGTTAAAGAGGAGCGCTTGTACTAGCCAACGTCTGCAAACCACACATAGGGAAAATTCTGGATACACCAGAAAGCCAGCTTTGTTCACCCATGTCTACTCAATTCCAGATCTCCTTTTCAAATTGCAAATGGACTTTTACCTGCAAGAGAAGCAAAGGTAAATTTCCAGGCGTGTACTCTCTTGTTAGGCAGGTCTCTAGCTCCCTCTGCAGGACATCTGCTTGAATAACAAGGGGCTTTGACTCTGCCATCTGAAACCCGGGCCACAGAGCAGACAAAGGGAAAGAAGGAAACAAAACTATCAGTGTTTATAACAGAATAGCTTGCCGTTTCAGACAGTTTTTACGCAACACATTATGCTGTTATACCCACGTTTCCAAATGACAAAGTTTAACATTACAAATCAAGGAACCATCACAAAAATCAGGTACCCCCAGAGAAGTAGAGGCCGGATCTGATGCAGGAGCTTTGTCCTCTGTCTAAAGTAACATCAGCTCTTTGTTGGCAAAAATAAACTTTTCCTGAAGAGTTTCCCACAAGTCAGCAAAATCTAACCTGTTGTATGGAAGCAGCCCACTCTCCTACTCACCTGCAAAGTTTTCTTTAGGGCCAGTTCTCATTCTCTTCTATAGTAAGAAATGTCCTTCGGCATTGGCACGGAGCTGCAGAAAGATTCATGCAGCAGGAGCCATAACTATAGAAGCTGCAATAGATCAGGTTATAGGCTCTGACTGATCTGTAACTTCTCACAACTCTTTCAAATAAATATGTTATATCACACTGGGTTGTTGGGGACAAGTGAAGGCCACATGCTTCTGTCTTAGTCAGAATCTCTCTGCTCTATGCCTCAGGCACTAAACCTTTCCCAGGCCAGTTTCTCTCTCCTTCTTCCCACACAACAGCCTTTCCTTCTACCCCTATTTCCAACCCCTGAGTGCAGACAGGCACAAAGGTGGGGAGTCTTTGTTCTCCCGCCTAAATTTCTCCCAGTAACGTAATCCCTAACAACACCACTGCGTTTCAGGCCTAGATCTCACCCTAGTTCAGTGTTTTTCAACCTTTTTTGGGCAAAGGCACACTTGTTTCATGAAAAAAATCACGAGGCACACCACCATTAGAAAATGTTAAAAAATTTAATTCTGTGCCTATATTGACTATATATAAAGTAATTCTCTTGAATAGGAATCAAATAAACACAAAGAAAGTATTTTATAATTACTTTATTATGAAATATTAAGTAAACAAAATAGTGAAAAATTATAAAATTCTTGCCTTGTCTGCACCTATGGCACACCAGGCAACATCTCGCGGCACACTAGTGTGCCGCGGGACAGCGGTTGAAAAACGCTGCCCTAGTTGACAGATCAAACCATTATTTTATAATTTAAACAAAATGTTCTTAATTTTAGGTTTTTGCTCAGATATCTGGAGGTGAAAATAGCCCTTAAGTATCAAACATGAAATAGTTTGGAAATTGTTTTAACCAAACTTTTAAAAATTCTTTAAACCTAGGGAACTGCTGCAAGCCACGTCGTGAGAGGGTTAGTTGCACTGTGAGCTGCGACTCATGGGGGCACAAGCAGCACTTGGGGGTGGAGGGTGGTTAGTGATGGGGTGGGGAGTGGGGGTGGGAGGAGCTGGGTCAGGAAGAGAGGAGTGCTCCCCATGTGGTGTAAAATATGCCCAAGACTTGGGAGCTTTGGGCACAGCAGGGCACAGCAACTTAGATGCATTATCACTTTCTTGGGATGGCACTTTGCAAACATTGGCCAGGGAGCCATGGCAGGCAGTTCTAGAGCACACGTGAGACATTATATGGAGACCTGAGGGGCAGTGTAGGCAGTAGTATGTAGGTTAATGTTTATAGATCTATCGGTCCCCATGGAAACGTTTTAAGGAAGATGAAATTTTGTATAATAGCTTCGAGGACGTTAAGACAATGGTATTTATGAAATATAAGAGCACTTTCCCATTTTCTTTGGTAGGACATTGCCTCTAAAAGCCTTGACAAGTCTAGTATACAGGAAAACCTTAAGGACAGCAGTCTGAGCTTGTGGTAATGCCAGTTGTCCACGTAAAAGGGGGGCTAATGGAGATTATGGGGTGATAGTGGGGGTTAAATGCCCTGAAGACTATGGCTTTGTGGCACCACTATTTACCTGTAAGCTCGATGAGCTGTTCCCAGAAGAGTCCCCTGTTCTGCTATCTGAGACTTCAGTTCAGTCAACTGCACAGCCAGTTCTTTCTCCAACATCTGGATCCTCTCTGTGGAAGCGATCTTGTAAATTTCATCCATGGTTCGTGCCTGCTGATTCCCTGTGAAAAAGAAGAGCACAAAGCTTGTGGCTGACTCCCTCCAGAATCATTACCCAGTTTGTGGGACTTTGACCATCATTATTCAAGAAATCATGTCAATTTTGTGGAAATGCATGCTTTTGCAGTTTGAAAAAGTAGCTGTCACTTATGATGAAGTTACAGTTTAGTAAGCAGTAGAGGAAATGTAGGTTGGAATCTCCATTGACCATGGCTTTGTTCAGCCCGGTGTACCTTCAGAAACCTCTCTGCTCCAGCGTTCACTATGGAGGTTTAGCAAATGGAAATGCATCCCCTGGTCTGGCCCCTGTAGTCTTCAGAAAGGCTGTGTGGATTACACACTAAATGGTATGAATGGTGGTTATTTCTGACTTCTAAAATAATATCACTCAATTGGAACAAAATGTAGGTGTGTCCAGGATTCCTCTGCATGCCTAGAGCTGTTCTCCAGAAGTCTTCTTTGAAGTATGAGCTTCTAACCAGGGAGAATATACTGAGATGGAGAACTATCTCTCTATATAAGTGCCTAAGCGGCTGTTACAACCTGTGGACCAGAACAACTGGAACAACCAGTCAAACAGTTGCTATGATGCACACTCAGTGCACTCCCACAGCCAACCCCCCATGGCCCCTCCCCCGCCTGGTGGCCCCATCAGCCCTTAGTGCTAAACCATTCGTAGAGACCTGCTTCTGGGTCGGGGTTTCCTATGTAGCAGAGCAGCTCCCTCACTGCAATCTATTGAAAGTCAGCCCTTGACACAAGGGTTTGTCTTGCTCCCATCCTCTCCCTTCCCAGGGGCTGCCTGCGTGCTGCGGTGTTGGCTTGAAACAAGGAAAGGAGGAGAGGAGGCGGGGAACCGCAGGTGGCGAGGCACTGATGGTGGCATCAGTGTCCGTTCCTTCCACGCCCGACCTGGCAACCATCACCTCCTCTCACAACCCCGCTGGGACAGGGAACCGGGGGTGGGTGATTGCGAAAACGGCCTCTTTCCCATGGGGGCCGAGGACCGGCTCTCTTCTTGGGGACAGCAGCCAACCTCCCACAGTCCCTCTCCTCACCCCCTGTCAGCCAACCTCCTATGCACTCCCCCCTCTTCCTCCCCTCCCCCGCTCCCAATCCCATGCACGAATTTGTGCACCGGGATTCTAGTCTAACATGATCATGATCCATGCACTTTACGGTTTGAAAGAAAATCAAACATATGCATTTGAATGTGTTTTTTTAATTATGAATGCTTACATTTGTCCCTCTGTTTTTACCATTAGGTAAAATAGTTGAGAACATCTTACCACACTTAATTCACAGCCTGTCAAATTCAACACAATTGCTTACTAAGTACTTAGCTTCAACATTCTACTGAACAACAGATTAACTGCATGTCCCAGGATGGAATTCGGACTGCAGGGATTCGCCGTCCTAGACGAGAAGGGGTAAAAGCTACTCCTGGCCACATTTAAGAGGTTTAAAATATTGAAACCTTCCTTTTTCCTTTGACATTTCTAGGATTTTTAGTTTTCCTTTCAGAGATATTTTCTCAAGTTAATGTGCTGCTGTTTTCAACAAACAAGCTGAAGAGATGTTTTGGTAGAGGCTTCCTTTGGGAGCATATTTGTTCTTTCAATAAATATTAAAAATGAAACAGAGAAAGCTAAGAACTATATGATTTCACTCATCTGTGGGATATAAAACTGACACTTATGAACACAATCAGCAGTGTGGTGGTTGCCAGAGGGAGGGGGGTGGGGGAAGAGAGGGGTCCTAATATGAGGTGACAGGAGAAGATTTGACTTTGGGTGGTGGGCACATAGTCCTATATACAGATTATGTACATTAGTAACCCACACATGTTCTTGTTGAGTAATGTCACCCACATCAAATTAAAAAAAAAAAAAAAGAATGTGGCTGAGGGTGTGGGTGGGCTCTGGATGGTTGGTGTGCATGGAAAAGCAAGCTCTTGGGCAATTTGTTTACTATTTCTAGGAATTGGCCAACCCTGTGGGGGGGCAGTCCCTTCATAGTCAGCAAGGCCATTGCTGTCAAAGCAGAAAATAAAATACACGGTTAATACAAAAAAAAAAAAAAAGGAAAAGAGCAGCCACGTTCAGCCTAGGCTGTGAACCTGCTGAGTAACGTCCGTCTTGCTGGGCACACTGCCGGAGCTCAATAAAGAGCACAGTTGTTGTTCTCAGCAAAAGTGAAACGTTGTTATGAAAAATATTTGCCACTTGGCAGTGTTCTTTCAAGTTGGGCAAACAGTTTAACAGCTGCCTGAACAGCTGCATTCCAACCGGCAGCCAAGAGCAGCAGCAACATAGACTGGCTGATTCTTCTCCCAGAGGATGGACATTCTGCCCTCATTTCCTGATCAGTTTCAACACTTCACAGCTCAGAAATGAGAACATTAATCCTGCACCCTTTGGCTTGCTACACAGTCAAGTACAGTATTCACAAAACTAACCTCAGGACGGGTCAGGCGTTGACAACTGTGCATGAAATGGATCCAACCCAGAGGAATCCATGCCTGTGAGCACTCATGTCTAGCACTAAAGAGACAGACAACTGTTTATTTTGGGAGGGTGGATAGGTTTTATATATTGAGCACATACTCTGTGCTGAACTCTTAAAGTCTCTGCAAGGATATTCTCAAGAATTGCTCAATAGTGGTTTTTTTTAATAAGTACATTCAATAAATATTGATTGTAAACAATCAATAAACCTTTTTATGTGTTTAAAACGGGGTAAAATCTAAGCTCTAAGAGAGACAGGAAGATTAGTTTGAGCAGGGTTGGAGGTTGTTCATTGGGTGGTGAAAATGGGCTTTGGTGGGTTAGAGCAGACATATTCAGAAGAGAAATACATACTGAGTAACTTTAGACTCAGCCGGAAACATGTTTAATGCATGCCAAAAACTGGAAAGTGACTCCTAGAAGAATAGAAATGCAACCTGGAGCTTTCCAAACATGTGGGGATAAGAAGTAGAAATGCATCTTTTAAATCTAATAGAAAGTAGGAAAGTAGAGAAAAGGGCAACAAAAGGAAGTATGTAGAAATAAATTCAAACAGATCAGCAATTGTAATAAATGGAAATAGATTAAGCCACCTACCAAACACACAAGTCAACATAACTCCATACATTTTTAAAGCCCCTAAAATTTGGTAATGGGATGTGCACAAAAAAGAACACAATGAATTTTATTCTAGCAAAAAACAGAATTTAAACCAATGAGCAAGCTGGCCCCACATCACCAATCTTCCTCAGGAAGAGCTGCATGAATAAACACTCGATAACCTCTTTGGGCAAACATGTTTCATGCTTGGTCATCCTTGTTCATCAAATGTTCTTCCTGTATACAAGTGAAATTTCTCCTACTTCACATTACACGCCATTTCTAGATTCACAGGAATAAGCCCAAGCTGTTTTAACAAAAAAGCACAGTCAGCAGTGGCTTAAGGAACAAAATGTTGTGTGTGTGTGTGTTCCCCCCCCCCCCTTTTTTGTTTGTTTGTTTTTTTTGTTAGTCCTCACCTAAGGATATTTTTCCATTGATTTTTAGGGAGAGTGGAAGAGAGAGGGAATGATAGAGAGAAACATCAATGTGAGAGAAATACATCGATTGGTTGCCTCTAGCACATGCCTCCACTAAGGCCTGGACTGAGGAGGAGCCTGCAACCCAGGTATGTGACCTTGACTGGAATCGAACCAGGGACCCTTTGGTCTGCAGGTCAACACTCTATCCACTGAGTCAAACCAGGTAGGGCAGGAATAAAACGTTTAGGTGTGTCTAACGGAATGATGCTGATGTGAATGGTCCAGGTGAACAGAGCAGCTCTGCTCCTCTTGGACATTTAAGGACCCAGGTTCCTTCCAAGAGGCTCCTCCAACTCTTAGGCATTGTTCAGATAAACACATTAGTGTCTTCTCTCCAGTGTGGCTATAGGTCATGACCTTTGGTTGGGGACACATGACACAGATTTGATTGGTTTGAATTCAATAACCTGGTTGTACTTCTAGTTAACTGAGAGTTTGCATTTATTTTCTTGAATGGGTAATAAGTAGTGTCAAATCCTTTTTCTGCTTCTATAGAGATAATGTGACTTTCCTCATCTATTTGTTAATGTGGTGAATTTAATGTTCTGTTTTTTTTAATCGTTAATCCAAAACTGCTTTCTTGGAACAAACCCCACTTGGTCACGATTTATCTCTTTTTAAAGGAAAGTGGACTCAATTTGCTATTATGTTGTTTAGAATTTTTGCATTTATGTTCATGAGAAAAATTGGCCTGCATTTTCTTATGATGCTCTTGTCAGGTTTTGATATCAAGATTATACTGCCCTCTTTTAAAAAGTTGTGAAGATCTCCCTTCTCTATTTCCTGAAAAAGTTTAGGATTAGTATTATTTCTTCCTTAAATGTTTAAATTAATTCACCTGTGAAAAATCTCAGCCTGAGATTTTGTTTATGGGAGGATTTTAAATTACATATTCAATAACTTTAACAGATTATGATTATTCACATTTCAATTTCTTTTTGTGTTCATTTAATGAAAGTTTTTAAAAAAAGAATATTTCATCTAAGTAGACAACTTTTTTGATGTAATGTTTTAATCACAATATCCTTTAATACTTCAAAAGCTTTTTTGAGATACAATTAACCCACTTAGAGTATACAATTCAATGATTTCTAGTGGATTTATGGAACTATTCAACCATCACTGCAATCCATTTTAGAACATTTTTCATCACCCCCAAAAGAAAACCCATATCCATTAACAGTAATTTACTATCTTCTTTAAGCCTCAGCAATAGGCAACCACTAATCTACTTTCTATCTGTATAGATTTGCCCATTCTAGACATTTTTAAAAAATATATATTTTATTGATTTTACACAGAGAGGAATTGAGAGGGACAGAGAGTTAGAAACATCGATGAAAGAGAAACACCGACCAGCTGCCTCTTGCACACCCCCCACTGGGGATGTGTC